CGAGGTTAACAAGAAAATTCAATTAAGGCTCAAAGGGGATGACTAGTGATTATTATTCTCGACAAAGAAAAAGGAAAAGAGAGTACAAGAAATGCCTCAATCATATTCACGTCACATCAATCTAATCCAATTATTTCAAAGCAGTCTCAAGGCAAATTCTAATTAACAAGATTCAGACCAATATCACACAAGAAACAATAAGGCTCAAACCTCACAAGGTAAATATGTTCCTCAACACAACGAAGCCAATCAATTAAAGATATATTACTCGTGCTCATCATCACATCTTCTCAATTAAACCAACGATTATCAAAAAGCTTTGCAATACACCAATGTCCAGACTCTGAAAACACACAGAAACCTAAAAACTAGACCGGACCACATAATCACGTAAAACTCCCCCACATTTAAAACCAGACAATGTCCCCATTGTCAAGTCGCGGTGAAGGAGAGTGAGACCATAGAACAGACCAACGCAAAAACAAAAACAAAGAAGCTGTACACAAATGAAAAGAGAAAGGGAAAAAAAGAACATACAAAGCACAGTGACAAGTCACTGTGCATCCGGAGGTGATGGTGGCTGGTGAGGGTGATTGGGACCCGAACCCCAACGGGTGTCCCACTGAGTGAAGCGCTGGTCCCAGCTATCCATCCGAGCGTCCTGCTGGTCCTGCCGCTCGCGGATTGACTGGAGGCCACCAGCGAAAGTGTCGAACTGGGTAACCATCTGAGTCCAGTGGGTCTGCTGCCGGGTCTCCCACTGGTCCCATCGAGTGTTCTGCTGTGCCTCCCAGCTGTTCCACTGCGTGGTCTGTCGGCTCTCGAGGGCAGCCCATCTGCTATCCTGGGCGTCAAAGCGATCGTGGATCGAGCGGATGTCGGCGGTGTACTGAGTCTGAAAAGTGGACCACCATTCCGGCGGCTGCTGCGGGGGCATCTCCGAGTGAGAGTTCGGCGCCGGCGTCCAGTCGGGTGGAGGTGGAAGTAGATGGTCCTCGTCGATATTCATCTGCTCATGCGCGTCCTCCGTCGGTTGCCGAGACGACCCTGCCGGATCGGAATTAGGTTGACCTTGCTGGAGCTTTTTGAAATAGGTGTCGTAGGCGGTGCGCTGTGTGTACGCCTTAGCCGTAGTCCGGTTTCGAATAAGGTCGGCCTGCTTGAGCTCGTTGTAGTTGAGACTTCGCATCTCAGACCGCTCCTGAAGCGCTATCTCACCATGAAGTCGGTAGGCTTTTGGGGTGATGTCGAAATGGTTCGCGAGTGCGGTAACAAAGTGCCCCAGTTCCGGTAGTCCGCGTCGAGTGAGGGCAATCTCCTGTAAGGAGTTCTGTAGGAAAGTCATCGAACACACCCGCACTCCCGCTCGCATCGCCCAGAGGAGAAAAAGTTCGACCTCACTGACTTTATTCGCCTCCTTCTTGCCGGTAACATTGTAGCAGATGAATCGATGCACAACAGCTGTGGCCAGGTCCTCGATAAGCCCATTGGACATGCCGGCAGAATCCCAGGTCGTATGAGGGGAGAGTTCGGCCCAACACTTCTTGGCGTCAAAATCGAAGGCCTTGCTTCGTGTACCGGAGAAAGTGAAACCGCAGACGTCTTTCATCACCGCATTATCCACCACGAGGTCTTTCCCCTTAAGCCGACAAGTGAAGTACTCGTTCCCATCGGTGAGAACGAATGTGCTAAAGAACTCAAGCATGAGGGTGCGATGTGAGCGCTCCTCTATTTTGGTGTAGTCGGTGAGGTTCAAAACCTTGAGGTACTTCATCACGTCGTCTAGAATACCCAAATCGTTCAGGAGGTCCCAGTCCACCGCCTTCGGTCTCACGACCTCTTTTTGCGATAGTCGGGCATAAATCTCGCCCTCCTTCCGAGAGTAAATCGGGAACGGAGCCCCGTATTGGTCCGAAAGATCATCTCGGTCCTCTACCGGAGGGGCATCTCGAGAGGAGGACTCGCCCGCTTGACGTTTCCT